AAATGTACATTTATCAATGTTGAAAACTGGGTTTTGGTTGTGCTTCGGCTCTGCTTGATTATGTGGATGAATATGGTTATCCTACTGCTCATAAAATATTCACTAGCTTAATAGATATAACCAGTTTAAAAAGATGGAAAGAATCTCAAGCTGACTAGCGGAATACATTACTGTAGCTTTACCCATTAATAGACACGGTACTTCCTTTTTATTATTATTATTTTTTAAACGGGCGATTCTCCGGAGGTTCGTGCTCCATGCATGTCAACCTTTCTCACTCGCTGTGATAATTAACCTCTGCCCCTCCCACACCATACACGTGTCAAAGGCCCTTAAATGGCACCATAAACACTTGTGGTCTTCCTACGAGTCCGCACTTTCTCGTGTCAAAACAAAACACTACTTTGACGGTCTCTGGGGGAGCTCACTTCAGTGTAGGCTTGGCAAAAGTGCGTATCGTGGGTGCATATCGACCACAAAGGGGGCCCTCGCGAGCACCCTTCTGAAACCTAAAATGACAAATGGGACACCCTACTGTCTTGAGGAGTTAACGGACACGAGCATGTGGTGGCCATTGCTAAGTCCACAAGACCATAAGTGCATATGAAGTGTGTCATTTGGGACAGGGCCAAAGTAGCCAGAGCTTGTTTCCATTTACGGATATGATGAGACACGCACAGGCGAGTATGTACGCAATTTCCGGTGACAAAGCCATTCCGAGAGGTGTAAAATATGGATTACCATAGTGAATCAGGGTAAGACAAAAACACATTTTAGAAGAAGGATTGATGATGTATTGACTTTAAATTTTGTTAATTTTGAACAAACAAACTTTTGAGGGGTAGCGTAAATGTGTTCTTTGAACTTAACTACATGAATTTATATCAAAATATTGCATTGTGTTTATAGTTCTTAAAGTTGTGCTCAAAAAGATGTCAATTTGCTCAGGGCTGAAAAAAAATTGGAAACATTTTGGTGACAAGGTGGTATTTGTTCTCATTTGATGAATCATCTGAGAAGTCGTAATCAGAGGACAAAATTTAAACTCAGTCAATCGCAGAATGCATAAATTAGTCAAATTTGGCTTTGGTGAGTAAATAAAACAGAATGACTTGCCATTTGTCTGGTACTGTCACGATCAATACAGATGAACCCAAGCGCAAACAGGAGTATAACAAATAGTTTATTTACAAAAACAGGGAAAACAAAACCCACGAGGGGGCAAAACGTAGACAAGACACAAAGAGAATAAACTAGACTGACTAACAATAACTAGACAATACTCTGGAACAGGATATCACAAGGTCTCAAAAACTCACAATGATCACACAGAGGTATGGGTCACAATTAACCGACATGAGACAGCAAACACAAGGAGATTAAATAGAAGAACCAATAAAGGGAACAGGTGACACTAACTAGACAATCATGACAAACGAGGAAAACAAGGGGGCGGGGTTAAGTAACGAGACACACAAGCACATGGCCCAAACCAAAGACCATGTGTTGTACACAAACATGGGTCTGCCATGATCCTGTCTCAGAACTAGAGAACTCAAGGACAGAATCATGACAGAACCCCCCTCTTAAAAAGCGGCTACCAGACGCTTCTCAAGAGGATACCAAACTCGAGAATAACCGAGACATAGACATGAACCAACACAACATAACCAATAATAACAAAGGCATACATGAAAACCGAATGACAGGATTAGGGTGAAAAATTAAGAACAGTAAACAAGGAAGGGGAGGCGGAGGCACAACAAAGTTCACGGGGGATTGTCCAAGGTGGGTGGGTGGGACGTTGGTCTTGGGTCTACGGGATGTAGACTTCTGACGAGGAACCCGGGCGGGTTTGGGTGGGGAAATGGTAGACACAGTCCGGGGTTGAGCCTTAACAGGGGAGACCGGGGAAACATACATAGGCTGGGTGACAGTGGGGACTGCTGCAGCCGGCAATGGAACGAAGACAAGAGGTTTAGCCGGTGGTAAGTAATCGGGAATAAGAGGCGCTTCGGCGGACGGTGATGCTGGAACAGGACCCATGGTTTCATCTACAGATTTGAAACCCTCTGAAACAGATTCGGAACCCGCACACTCCATCATTGACTCAGAAAGAGAGTTCTTTGTAGTAGCCATGGAGACCGCTCTCTCTGCAACTGACTTAAAACCCGCACTCTCCTCCGCTGTGGACGCAGGACTTGAGGATGAAACGGGTCTGACAGGAATTTCCAGAATTTTTACCAGACTTGACAAGTAATTAGATAAAGTCTTGGCCATAACTGCAATCGGCATGTCCTGACCAGCTGAAATTGCCCGGAGGAGTGCTCCTGCAGCTGTGTCGGCTGCCGCCCTCTCTGAAACTGACTCAGAGATATCGTTAGCGGCAACAGACTCGAAAACCATCTTCACTGCTGCAGGATCCGGAATAATCCTCTCTGCAGCAGCCTCAGGAACAACTCTCAGCAGTGCTGACTGTGGACCTGTGCTCTCTGCAGCAGTTTCGAGAGTCCTCATGGACTCAGGCGAAGATAGGGACAGAGAACTGAAAGTTCCCCTCCTTCTCTTTCTCCTCGGCCGCGGAGCAGAAGCCAAAACCGGACTTGAAACCGGTTGGAAAGACTCAGAGGGAACCACAGCAGGAACTGTAGTCTCGGTGGAGGATGACTCTGAAGCCGACTCCCACGACAGCCGTCTCTCTCGTTTACCCCGAAGACTTGTAGCTGTGGAGAATGCTTCCGAAGTCGCGCTGGGACGAGTCTGGTTCACCAACGTGGCCACGGTGAGGACGCGACCCTCCGGGATCACGGGTAGCATACCAGGTGATGACGGTCTGATGGAAGTCCGTGATTCCTTCTGTACCAAACAGGTAATCATCTCCTGGAACGGATGACGAACCAGTTTCTCCCGTTCAGCCAGAGGAGGCGGCTCATTTAGGCCCGCGATGAGGTAGCGTTTTAGTAGGGCGTCAGGCAAGAAAACCCTCCTCTCGTCTACGACCCGGGCGTACTCTCTCAGGGACCACTCACCCTGGGGAGGGAACGGAAGTTTGCCCCTCCTACTATCGGCAATCGTCTCCTGCCACCATTCTACCAGAGGGTCCGATTGCTGATCAAGACATGGTGGCGTACTGTTTGCTGGGTTCTGGTCAGGTCGGTTAATTCTGTCACGATCAATACAGATGAACCCAAGCGCAAACAGAAGTATAACAAATAGTTTATTTACAAAAACAGGGAAAACAAAACCCACGAGGGGGCAAAACATAGACAAGACACAAAGAGAATAAACTAGACTGTGACTAACAATAACTAGACAATACTCTGGAACAGGATATCACAAGGTCTCAAAAACTCACAATGATCACACAGAGGTATGGGTCACAATTAACCGACACGAGACAGCAAACACAAGGAGATTAAATAGAAGAACCAATAAAGGGAACAGGTGACACTAACTAGACAATCATGACAAACGAGGAAAACAAGGGGGCGGGGTTAAGTAACGAGACACACAAGCACATGGCCCAAACCAAAGACCATGTGTTGTACACAAACATGGGTCTGCCATGATCCTGTCTCAGAACTAGAGAACTCAAGGACAGAATCATGACAGGTACTGTAACTTTATTAGGAACTTCTACATAACATGCTTATGCTTTAAGTAAAACTCCCTGATGTACAGTAAGTGATGCACATTATTCAAATCTGTTGCATCTTTTACCTCAATGGAAATGTTATTATCAGAAGTTCATCTAAATGCCTAATTTCTATTTTCTCAAAAACTCTATGTGGTGACGCATATCTGGAATATTTTTTGCATTAAGCCACTGAAACAGAAATATCACAGACAGACAGAGACTGGCTCATCTCATCGAGTCACACAATGATCTGTGCTGTTTGACGCAATTATACAAAATGACTAAACCATCGAAATAATTCCATTGTCCACAGATGTTAAATCCATTTTTTTATTGCCTGTGATTTTCTCAATTGATTCGCCATTGGCGAGTGTGGCAAAAAGTAAAATTTTGAACTGAATGCAGAGAAATTATTTAGGTCAAGGCCAGGTGATAGTCATTCTTCCCAATAATTATGTTCAGCCAGAGCTGAGTATTAAGAAGTTAAATAGTCCATCAGTCTCTTATCTCTTACTCTCTAAAATACTCATATCTCACTGAGCATGTTTATATGCACACCAATATGCTGATAACTACCAAAAATCAGTTTATTGGAATAACCCAATTTACCGGTTTACATGGAGAGCGATCACCTGGCAATGTAAGTAAACCGCATTTACAAGACTGTATTTACAAAAAAAGGTTATTGGCGGTGACGTCAAATGTAAGCATCCATTTACAGTATTTCACTTAGAGATGAGTTGAGATGTTAAATAAAGCATTATAAACCTCAAAGTATTTCAAAATGTCAGTGAAAAAAAAAATGGTTTAACGCGTTTACATGTCCACATGTTGTTTGCGCTTTTAATTGATTTTAGAACGTCCATGTAACATTGTCTTTTCAGGGTCTTTCACCTGTTTACTCAACTGTGAAAAGTGAATATCAGCTGTTGAAAAATGAGAATAGGTGCTTGACTTCCTGTTATTCTGCTCGTAATGTATCATATCAGCCCATCTACAGTTGACACAACTCAAAAAGAGAGAGAGAGAGAGCACAACAGGTGTATTTTACTGTGCAGTCACAATAAAGGTGTGTTGAAGGCTGGGATGTGTGCTCTTTCATGTATCATGATACAGCACCAGTCAGCATAGCATAAATCATATCCAGCCAATCGTTTCTGTCTGTTCTTTTCCTTTATTTTTTTATTTTTTAATTTATTTGGGATTTTTGGGATTGAAATGACGGGATCATGCTTTTCCCAGGGATCTCTAATCTCTGCTCTGCTCACAAACTGTTATGTTCTGGGTTTAAGACTGAACTCCCGATTAAATATGTCTTGAAAGTGTTTCTTGTATTATTTACAGCTTGTGTGTTTTATTTCAGAGGGAAAGGTTGAAGTGACTAAAGAAGGATTGAAGCTGTGCACTATGGGACCAGGAAAGGTGTTTGGAGAGCTCGCCATCCTTTATAACTGCACCAGGACGGCCACTGTGAGAAGTGAGTTCACACAGACCACAGTAATAAATACAATTATCCTGATTTTGATTCTGATTAAGCAAAGGACATTTTGGATTTTTTTCCCCCCACTACATACATTGATGAACACAGCTTGAGTTTATTCGAGGCCACATTTTCCAGTCTGCCAGCGTGAGATTATAATTCTCAGTATGACTGAAGACAACCAATCACTCCATCTGTGATCATAATATGTTATTTCATCAATAGACAGGAGGCCAGATTGAGATAGATGTGAGGGATGAATTAATATTAGGAGACAACAAATGAATTGTGCTCAGACATTCTAGAATGTTATTGGTTATTTTGTGATTTGAACATACCCCTAACCCTGTATTAACCCTTTAGGCGCCAGAGGTTTTTTCCTAAAACGTTCGATTTTGACATCTTCATTTCAAAAGTGATAAAAGATAGAGACTTTCTGTAAATTAGAGAAATATTAAGGATGACCCAAAGTTTATGTAGGGGTTACATTTTCCATCTAATTTGCATATTATGACGTCATATGGTGGCGGCAATCTTGGATTATAGAATTTTCATGAAAAGTCACATCTTTCCCCCCAAAATGTCCATCACCTTCTGTATGCTATATTGCACAATACTGAATGCTCAGGTATATAGTAAGTAGTAAACAAACTGTGTAAATCATTACTAATAAATGGTAGAAACAAACCGAATGCATGTAGTGGTTGGCCTTTTGCTGTAGAGATTTTCCATTTACTAAATACAGTAGGCACTCTGATTCCATGTATGGGGCACATATATATTATTCATATGACATACAAACACAAGTAAACAAGACCTGTTTAGTTCAAACGCTCACTCGCCACGGCAAGGCACAGATCATGAGTGAGATGATACGAGCAGCGTGGCCAGATCTGCCTCGCGCGCGCGCCGAGTGTGCACAGCTCCGACTACTTTCATTGTCATTGCGACTCCCCACCCTGCCTCCACGTTGCCCCCTAACTGTCCTATGAATACTTCGACCTCGTCTAACATACCCAGTGGTATTAGACAAAGTCTCCACCACAATACTGTCGCTGCGATTGTGGAGACAAAATGGCTCATTGATAAAATGGCTCACTCGCACACTAGCTCCGCTTTTGATCGCACTGATTCAATGCGCTCTAACTCGAACATTTTGTATAGAAGCATGACGTTTTTTTGATTCGGGGATGAAGTATGACATGTCTGCCATCTAGTGGAGGGGAGGTCGAATGAAATTTGACACCCAATTTGACAAAATCGGCCGTTTTATTCAGTGCCGCATCTTGTCGAGTAAACTCGACTGTGGCGCCTAGAGGGTTAAAGGGGCTTTATGTAGAATTCAGAAACCGTTGTTATTAGTGACACCAGTGGCCATGTAGTGAACTGCAGCCAGCAACTTATTGCTTTTGCTCGCACTCGTGCAAATGTTGCAAACAAGAGACTACATGCGATTCGATGCTCCGAAATACTCACGGCAAAGTTCTTTTTCCTTCTTTGCTTAGAAGTAAAAAGAAGTTAAAAATACCTTTGCAGCGATACACCGTTAACAAACATCCAGATGCCGTCCATGCTGCTGAAAGGGACGTTCAGATCAATATGTAAATATGCACAGCGTGCTTTCCTCTCAAAAACAAAATAAACACAACAAAAATGGCATTGTTGAGAGCCAAAAATCATTCAGTTGATCACTGATGTTCTCTCAACGAGGACGTCGTTGCCTTTTCAATTACATGGATTTTTGATTCTGACTGATCTAACTCCCATTGCTCGTGTCTCCCTCTATCCTAATTAGTATTAGCAGTTCCATCTTTGGGATGTCTTTTGATCAGATACACCATCAGCTTTTCTCTTGGATATGGAAAATGATTTCCATTACACGAGAGTAGATGTTAAAACTTGCTGATTTGTACTCGGCTTTCGCCAAGATAAGCAACACTAAGACGTAGCTTTACAGTAAACTATGCTTCTCCATCCATCAGAGATGCTCACAAGTCTCTGAGCTAAAGTCCAAGTCAAGTCTCAAGTCTCTGAGCTAGAGTCCAAGTCAAGTCTCAAGTCTCTGAGCTAAAGTCCAAGTCAAGTCTCAAGTCTCTGAGCTAGAGTCCCAGTCAAGTCTCAAGTCTCTTGTGGTTATAAGTGTTGCATCACGTACAGCGACCCATCCAGGTTGCTTAGAACACTGCATAGCTTTATATAAGGAATTCAAAGCATGTAATATGTTAGGTTACACTTTATTTCGATAGTCCACTTTAGACATTCTACTAACCATGTACATTTTCAACTACATGTCAACTAACTCTCATTAGAGTATTAGTAGACTGTCAGGTTATGATGTGGGTTCGGGTTTGGAGAACAAGTTGACTTGTAGTTGCCAAGTTACTTATAGTCAGTAGAATATCTGTTGAGGAACCAACAAAATAAGATATTATAATATATAATTAGCAGATATTAAGCCTACTAATACTCTAATGAGAGTTAGTTGACATGCAGCTGCAAAGTTACTTATAGTTAGTAGAATGTATAAAGTGGACTATCAAAATAAAGTGGTACCATATGTTATTATGACTCCTTTATCTATTAGCATACAGTATCAGCTTTGATTTTGGTATATATTCAGTGTAAACAGGCTATTACAACATGACAAAAACACCAACATTGCTTTACTTTTAGTTAATTTCTTTATTTTGCCTTGTAGCTTGAACATACCAAGACATAAGACCAAATATAGAAAATGATATAACTCACAACACTAAAATTGACACACTCCTATTTAGTGCAAAACATCAGTGTAGCTAAATGCAAATAAACTATTGCATTCAAATGAAATTTTTAACACTACAGTGCACTTCCAAAACATTCAAATGCTCAAAATCTTTAGTGTAAATGTGAAGCAACTGACCAACTTTTGGGATGTAACTTGTTAAGAACAAAATGTTTAGAAATAAAAAAATCCAAAGGGTGAGAACAGACTGGTTAACCTTCTCTTCTCTTAACACACTAGGTATGGGCCACAAAACATTTCTGGCTTCTTCTGGCTGCACTGCCTATGCAACTAATCATAGCTTATATACTGTAAGTCAACACATCCCAGACTCTCAAACCAGTGTAACGTTATAATTAAATGAAACTGTAACGTAACATGATCAACAATAATCCTGTAACCTGTTTGTAGACAACGGGCAGCCAGCGGCACGTAAATGATTAACGTTACGTTAATCGACCACCACAAGTTTGGCAATTAAACAAACGCTCATTCATATTTCATAAGGAAGACAATCGGAGTTAACCTCCCGTAACGTTAGGTAGCTAAAGCAATAAGCAAGCTAACGGTAGATGGTCAATGCTGAGCTAAACATGTTTACTCACCTATCAGGGTGCGTTTTCAGATGCATGATAAAATTAGATGTAGTTGAGCCAGAATCTTTTGTCGTGATACTGCATATTTTGCATTGAGCGCTTCTTTTGAGCGCGTCTTGTTTGAAGTTTTTGAACCCAAAGGTAACGATGAATGGCACAGCAGCGGCCGGTGCAGTCGAACTTTTTGTTTGTTATCCTCTCATGTGTGGTCGCGCGCGCGCTGCCAGCAATAGGCCACGTAGTACGTGGTTACGTAGGCAGGTTATAACGGAGGGAGGGGGATAACAGCGAGCTCATCAGACGTTTCCTAAAAATAAACATTGTTCACGAGTCCCGCAGCTCGAGTCCGAGTCGAGTCTGAAGTCTTTCGAGGACGAGTCTCAAGTCGAGTCTGAAGTCACTGTGTGTGCGACTTAAGTCGCACTTGAGTCCGAGTCTCAAACTCGAGTCCCCATCTCTGCCATCCATTTATGCTTCTTTCCATATGGTGGTGTGACTCCCCTTCTGTCCGGCGTTAACGGCTGCAGTGTACTTGGCGCGTCAGCACACACGACGGCTGCAACTACAGTGTGGTCTCCCTAGTGGACCAGCACGACAACCGTCTGGATTGAGCCGAGTAGGGGACATCTCTAGGGTCTTCAAGTGGGCACCTTCCGTCCTCAGTGTTTTGTCGACTAGCCCACGACACCTCAAGAGGGCTCGACAGTGACTCTGGCGTCCCAGAGTCACCCCCCTCCGTCCCCCTCTCAACTCAGCCCAGCTTACTGACCTCTACATCCCTCCTGCTGCTGAGAGCTAACCACAATCTCACAATCTCTCCGCAACCCAACCATACGCGCCAACCCGTTTGACTAAGGCTGTTGAGCCCCACTGGTGCGTTAAAGGGGGGGTGAAACACTCAGTTTCACTCAATCTCATGTTAATCTTGAGTACCTATAGAGTATTGCATCCTTCATATCTCCAAAAAGTCTTTAGTTTTATTATATTTATAAAAGAAAGATAGGCTGTACCGAGTCTTTCCGGAAAAACCCGAGCGGGTGGAGGCGTGCCGTGTGGGTGGAGCTAAATAATCACGACACGAGCGTGCGAAGCTTTTGCGTTGAGAGCGTCTAGAAGCTGTGAGTGACATCCGAAAATAAACCATGGTTAACAATCAGATAGTAATCCCATGCAGAACAAGGATCTAAACAATACTAAGGGCTCGTTCATACAGAACGCGTTTTTGCTCACAAAAACGTGAGATATGCAGTGAAATGGGTGAAAAACATAAGGTCTCGAGCGTTTTTTTTTAAATAGAAATGATTTGAACTTGAGCGCAGTGTTTTTAGAACACCATGTCATGCGCGAGTTTTACAACATTTGTGTATTGTAAACAGACAGACTCATGGTTTATGAGGACATGATTTATTTTTACAATAAACAAACTGACACCTACAGTGGCCAGCTAAACAAATGTATTTAAACACACACACACACACACACCATACATCGCATGCTCCATTGATACATTAACTGTATGTGATCATGTTGTTTACTTGCTGTGCTTACACGCCGATAGTTAACAACTCACAGACATTTGAAGCAGTTTTACTCACCGCCTGCGGTTCCAACGCACGACCGTGAACCTTTATCGTTGG